TTTCTTGATCCATTCATCTACTGAGGGGCATCTGGGTTGGTTCCATATCTTAGCTATGGTAAATAATGCTGCAATAAACATAGTTGTGCTGGTAGCTTTAGTGTGGTCTTTTTTGTAAACATTAGGGTAAATGCCCAAAAGTGGGATTGCTGGGTCATAGGGGAGTTCTATGTGAAGTCTTTTGAGGAACCTCCATACTGCTTTCCAAAGTGGTTGAACAAGTTTACATTCCCACCAACAATGAAGTAAGGTTCCTTTCTGTCCACATCCCCTCCAGCATCTGTTGTTGTTAGAGTTCTTGATTTTTGCTGTTCTAACTGGAGTGAGGTGATATCTCAATGTTGTTTTGATTTGCATTTCTTTTATGGCTAGGGATGTTGAACATTTCTTCATGTGTCTATTGGCCATCCTTCTTTCTTCTTCAGAGAAGCTTCTCTTTAAGTCTTTCGCCCACTTACTTATTGGGCAGTTGTTTCTTTGAGGATTTGTTGTTGGGTGGTTTAATTTTTTGAGTTCCAAGTATATTTTAGATATGAGACCCTTGTCCATTGTATGGCTAGTAAAGATCTTCTCCCAGTCCGTGGGCTTTCTATTGATCTTGCTAGCTATGTCATTTGCCCTGCAGAAGCTCTGCAACCTTATACAATCCCATTTGTCCAACCTTTCTTTGTTGTGTTTCCGGGTCTCTATTCAGAAAGTTTCTGCCTGAGCCAAGGAGACCTAGGGTTTCTCCTATTCCATCCTGTAATGTTTTCAGAGTGTCTGCTTTGAGTTCAAGGTCTTTGATCCATTTGGAGTTGATTCTGGTGCAGGGTGATATATAAGGATCTAGCTTTAGTTTTCTACATGTAGTTAACCAGTTTTGCCAGCACCATTTACTGAAGAGGCTGTCTGTCTTCCATTCTATTGTTTTAGCTCCCTTATCGAAGATTAGATGGCTATAGGTCTGTAGGTTCATTTCTGGGTTTTCAATTCTATTCCATTGGTCCTGAGGTCTGTTCTTATGCCAATACCAAGCTGTTTTGATTACTATGGCTTTATAGTAGAGTTTGAAATTTGGTATTGATATTCCTCCAGCAGTGTTCTTTCCGTTGAGAAGCGCTTTTGCTATTCGGGGTCTTTTATTGTTCCATATGAATTTTTGGATTGCCTCTTCTATTTCCTTGAAGAATGAGGTTGGAATATTGATAGGTATTGCGTTGAATTTGTAGATAGCCTTGGGAAGTATTGCCATTTTCACGATGTTAATCTTTCCAATCCAGGAGCATGGGAGGTTTTGCCATTTTTTAAAGTTCTGTGTTGATTTCCTTTTTCAAGATTTTAAAGTTTTCATCATAGAGGTCCTTCACTTCTTTAGTTAAGTTAATTCCTAGGTATTTTATTTTTTGTGGGGCTATTACAAATGGAGTTGCTTTCCTAATTTCAGCCATACTTTTCTCATTGTTGGCATACAGAAAAGCCATTGATTTTTGGGGGTTAATTTTATAACCTGCTACTTTGCCAAAGTTTTGAATCAGCTTGAGTAATTTGGGAGTGGAGTCTATGGGATTCTTTAAATACAAGATCATGTCATCTGCAAAGAGGGAGAGTTTTATTTCTTCTTTCCCTATTTGGATCCCCTTTATGTCTGTATCTTGTCTTATTGCTGTAGATAGGCATTCTAATACTAGATTGAAGAGAAGTAGAGAGAGTGGACATCCTTGTCTTGTTCCTGAGTTAAGAGGAAATGGCTTTAGTTTTTCACCATTGAGTATAATGCTGGCTGTAGGTTTGTCATATACAGCCTTTATTGTATTGAGGAATGTTCCATGGATTCCTAATTTTTCCAAAACCTTCATTATAAAGGGGTGTTGGATCTTGTCGAATGCTTTTTCTGCGTCTATTGAGATAACCATGTGGTTCTTATTCTTGCTCCTGTTGATGTGATGAATAATATTAATTGATTTGCGTATATTGAACCAGCTTTGCATCCCTGAAATGAATCCTGTTTGATCGTGGTGTATGATTTTTTGGATGAATTGTTGAAGTCGGTTGGCCAAAATTTTGTTGAGAAGTTTTGCATCAATGTTCATCAAAGAAATGGGTCTATAGTTCTCTTTCTTTGATGAGTCCCTGCCTGGTTTTGGGATGAGGGTTATGATGGTTTCATAGAATGTGTTCGATAGTGAGTTTTCTCTTTCAATTTCATTGAAGAGTTGGAGGAGAATTGGTGTGAGCTCTGCTTTGAAGGCCTTGTAAAATTCCGCTGTAAAACCATCTGGTCCTGGACTTTTCTTAGCTGGGAGGTCTCTTATTGCTGTTTCTATTTCAATGCTTGATATGGGCCTGTTAAGATAGTTTAACTCATCTTGGTTTAGTTTTGGCATGTCAATATTTGCTAGGAAGAGGTCCATTTCTGTCAAGTTCTCAAACTTATTAGCATAAAGTTTTGAGAAATATTCCCTTATAATGTTCTGAATCTTGGTTGTTTCCGTGGTGATGTTTCCATTCTCATCTCTGAGTTTATTAATTTGGGTGTGTTCTCTTCTTTTTCTGATAAGATTTGCTAAGGGTCTGTCAATTTTGTTAAGTTTTTCGAAGAACCAACTCTTTGTTTTGTTGATTCTTTCTATAGTTTTTTTGGATTCTAATTCATTTAATTGTGATTTAATTTTGATTATTTCTTTCCGTCTACTGGATTGGGGTTTATCTTGCTGCTCTTTTTCAAGGAGGTTTAGATGTGTCATTAAATTGTTAGTTTCAGATCTCTCCAATTTCTCAGCAGCACATGGAACGTTTTCTAAAATAGACCACATTTTAGGCCACAAAGCAAACTTGTCTAAATTCAGAAACATTGAAGTTATACCTTGCATTCTCTCTGACCACAGGGAATAAAATTAGAACTCAACACCAAAAGCCACCAAAGAAAGTCCGGTATCACATGGAGGCTGAACAACACACTGCTGAATCATGAGTGGGTCATGGAAGAGATTAGAAAGGAAATTCAAATGTTCATGCTATTCAACAAAAATGAACACACAAAATACCAGCTCCTCTGGGACACAGCAAAGGCAGTACTCAGAGGCAAGTTTATAGCTCTGAGCTCCTACATCAACAAATTGGAGAGATCTGAAACTAACAATTTAATGACACATCTAAACCTCCTTGAAAAAGAGCAGCAAGATAAACCCCAATCCAGTAGAAGGAAAGAAATAATCAAAATTAAATCAGAATTAAATGAATTAGAATCCAAAAAAACAAACGGCAAATCTTGAACACTGCCTTCTCTCCTTTACAAACTTCCATTCTTATAGCGATAATGGTGGTAGCTATCATTTGCTTAGCCCTCTTATGGACAGGAAATGGGGGTAATTCAAAGGATAATATCTTCTAGAAATACTCTTAATGAAGGCCTCAGACAAGCATCAGACAGGCACACAGCTAGAGAGAACAGAAAAGAATACAACTCAAATGTAGCTTTCTCCTTCTCTTGGAGGCCTGCCTCCAAATAACAAAATGTTTTGTAGTTTTCATAAAACTGAAGACAAAGTTTATTTCCCAGCCTTCCAATCTGTTACCCCTCCTCAATTCATTCTATCTTGGGGATATATGATATCCCCAAGACTGTATTAGCTTACTGGTACTGCTATGACAAAATACTTCAGACTAGCTGGTTCAACCAACGTTTATACACTCATAGGCCAGGAGGCTAGACATTGAGATCAAAGAGGTAACCAGGTTGGTTCCTTCAGAGGTGCATGTGAAAAGGAGCTGCTCCAGACCTGTGATGGTTAATTTTATGTCCAATTTGACAGAGATGCCCAGTAATCCGGTTAAGCATTATTGCAGCATGTTCTTTGAGGGTGCTTCTGGAAGATGTTAGCCTTTGAATGAATGGATAAAGAAAAGTAGATTATCCTTCTCAGTGTGGGTGGGATAATCTTCTCAGTCAACCCTTAGGGACCTCAATAAAACAAAAGGCAGAGGATGATTGAATTTATTCTTTCTGCCTAACTGTAAATTGACTCAAGGGTCTCCTGCCCTTGGGTTGGATCTTCTACTATGGTGCTTTTAGTTTCTCAAGCCTGTGAACTCAAACTAGAATTTATACTACAGTTTTCCTGGGTGTCCAGCTTGCAGACAGAGATTGTAAAACTTCTCTACCTCCAGAATTTTTCATGAATTAGATCTTCTAACACCTATCATTTTGTATATCTCCTATTGGTTTTGTTTCTCTGAAAAACCTTAATATAAAGCCTCTCTTCTTGTTTCTACATATTCCCTGTACATGTCAGACTCAAATTTTTCACTTCTTTATAAGGTTACCAATTATATTGGATTAGAATCTTAGTGGTAGGAGCACTGTAAAGAGTCACATTCTGAGGATCTGGGGTTTCGAACTTCGACATAAGAAATGAGAGGAAATGAACCCAATTCAGCCCATAATGGAATTTGTGGAGCTAATTGTGACTCATTTCCAACATAATCTACACTTAAAAAATAAAAAAAAAATAGATTTTATGCTGGTGCCAGTGGCTCATGCCTATAATCCTAGCTACTCAGGAGGCTAAGAGCTGAGGATCTCGGTACAAAGCCAGCCTGAGCAAGAAAGTCCATGACACTCATCTCCAATTAACTGCCAGAAAAACGAACGTGGTGCTGTGGCTCAAGTAGTAGAGCTCTTGCCTTGAGCTGAAGAGCTCAGGGTCAGTGCCAGGCCCAGAGTTCAAGCCCCATGACCCACCAAAAAAAATATTTCATAAAAGGGGATTCTGGGCATCCAGTGGTGAAATTCTGTATTCAGCACAAGTCCTGAGGGGTGAGAAAGGCCCATCCTGCAAGTCCTAAGAAGTGCACCTCAAAGGCATCATACCAAAGGGGCCCTAGCAACTGGTGGAATGTGGGTTATTGTGAGGACAAGGGATTGTGATGGCAGCCTGGCTATGACACCTGGTGAAGGCAAGTGCTCTTGCCGCAGAAGATGTCCTCTGGCTCCAATTACCAGCACCCCAGTTTTATGAATGGCAACAGAGGACAGGGAAGTGATGGAAGACCGGGGGGCAGGAGAAAGCTGTCCCACCTTATCCAAGTTGGTGCCTGCTGACTCCATGCCTGAAGGGAAGCCAAAGGCTTCTTTGGTAAGAAGACCACCTCATTTCACTTCCCCCAGCCATTCCACACAGAGAAGGGCATCCTAAGACTAGGTGAAAGAAGAAGGTGGGGCCTAGAAAATGCAGAGAGTTGTTAAGGACAGGGCTTCCCTCTGTACCCTAATGAACACCCAGCTCTCCCCCAGAACCGGGTAGCTCTTCCCAAGACTGTGAAGTCACTTCAAGAGGGCTTTGCCTGCCTTTCTACATTCCCACTTGAGGCCCTGTCCCTTCCTTCCTTCACACAGAACCCTCCAAATTCCTCTCGCTGGTCCCTCTAGGTTTAGGTTCTCTCAACACAGACCCTAAATTTCTTCCTCTCTCTCTGGAGCCTCCGGAAGAGCCGGTGCCATAAAATGTTAGGTAGAGTAGATGGCTTGAGAGACAGAGAGCTCCTTCCACTTCCAGGGCCCTGTTTGCAACTTTAGAACACCGTCCTTTGCCTTTTGTTGCCTGTTCTGTGTTAGCCCTCCAGTTCTAGTAACTCCATCTGAGTGCACTGCTGATAAGAACCCAGTCTCAACATTTGAAATTCAGGAAACCTTGCAATACCCTAGGCCAGCATGACTTGGAGCTGGAGGAGCAGTAGCCCCATGTTTCCTCCACTTCCTTTTCCCTCTTTCCCAGGAAGCAGAGGCCCCCAAGCCAGACTCCTCTTATGACTACCTGGAGGAGATGGAAACTTGTGAGGATAGAGGCTGCCCAGGGCCCCCCAAGACACTATCCCAAAAGGCTGGTGCTACCACCAAGGGCCAAGCAGGCGATGGACCCGGACTCGAATCCACAGAACTGCCCCCAGGCCCAGGAGAAGAGCACAACAACACAATGGAGCTGGAGAAGGTGCGCATGGAGTTTGAGCTGACACGTTTGAAGTATCTCCATGAGGAGAATGAGAGGCAGCGGCAGCATGAGGAGGTGATGGAGCAGCTGCAGCAGCAGGCAGGGCCCCGCCAGGTAAGTGTGAGGGTGAGGCACTGTCCTTAAGGGGCCAGGGCAGACACTAGGGGTCAAGGGGCATGGGGTCAGACTCCATAGGTCAGGACAGAATCAAGTCCACATTATTTGGTTGACTTTGTATTCTGCCTACGGGTCCTGGGTATGGCTGAAGGGCTGAGCATCCTTGGGCCATTTCCCAGAATAGGCTGAGAACTGACCAGGCCTGGAACCATTCTGCTCTGTTAGTGTTGAGAATCCCACCTTCTAAGAGAGTTGAGCTAGGAGAGAGCCTAGAACCTCATCATCTACCCAACAGCCATAAGGTTAGCTCAAGGAAACAGTCTTCAACACTCTCTCCAAGACCACATTTCCACCACTTTCAATTCCTCTTTCATCTCATAGAACGTGAGGCAGGGCGAGGAGACCCAGCACCCTGCTCTGGTGCAGTCCGTGAGTGTTGACTGAACCACAGCCTTCCTGTGCAGGGCTGCCTTTGTACTGTTGCATCACACTGTTTGGTAGCTCAACTGAAGCAGCCATCTCTTCTCAAGAAATGTACACTCAGCCCTGGATGGAACTAAACGGGAATAAGAACACTTTCTTAAAAGCCAGGCTGATGGCTCACATCTGTAACCTTAGCTATTCAGGAAACTGAGATCTGAGGATAACAGTTCAAAGCCAGCCCAGGCAGAAAAGTCCAGGAGACTCTTATCTCCAATTAACCATCAAAAAGCCACAGATAAGGGTGTGGCTCAGGTGGTACAGCACTAGCCTTGAGCAAAAAAGCCTAGGGAAAGTACAAGGCCTTGAGGTCAAGCCCCGGTACTGACTAAAAACAAAGCAAAATAACAACAAAAAAGAAATGAAATGAGCTGTGAAGTGCTTAGCTCAGTGGTTAGACCATAATAATCACTCAATAATGAAAGACTGTATTATTTAAAACAGTGTTTCCTATGCTTTAATCAGGCACTGGTGGCTCATGCCTGGAATCCGATCTGCTCAGGAAGGTGAGATCTGAGGATCATGATTTGAAGCCAGTCCAGGCAGAATACTCCATGAAACTCTTATCTTCAGTTAACCACCGGAAAATTGGAAGTGGTGCACAAAGTGGTCAAAGTGGTCCTCAAACTGGAAGTATGAATGCTGAGAGTGGTAGAGTGCTAGCCTTGAGCAATAAAGCTCAGGGACAGTACCCAGACCCTGAGTTAAAGCTCCATGACCAATTAAAAAGAAATCAGCCCTAAATTGAAATCTTGGCTCTACCATTTATATAAGCTCCTTAACCTTGGGAAAGTTTCTAATCCTCCCTGAGCCTAAGGTACCAACTACCCCTTAGTGTCATAGTGAGAATTCAGTGAGATAATGCATGTAAAGCCCTTTTGCAATGATCCTAGTACATTAGGTAAGCACTCAATAAATATTAGCTATTACCATTTTTATGTACTCAGGCAATTCACTTCTTGACCCAAATGCAGCAACTTACATTCACCACTTTTTAATTTGATTGGGATGTAATGTATTAGCTATGCCTCCCAGTTCTGAGTCATTCTCAGTTCTGAGAAGCTGGCCTGTCTTTACCCAAATCATTGCTGTAATTGTTGAGGAGGATACAAACTAAAGTAAATATCACTAAAGGATATCTCAACAGGTTAGCAATGATCCATTCATCAGTACACTGGAGTTATACATTTTATCCAACTCATATTTCTCTAGCTTGAGGAAAAGACATTGCCTGAGATACTGTCAAGTAGCTAGCTCCTCAGAAGATATTATATTGCTTATATCATTTCTCTAATTGGTCATTTTTTTAAAAATAGGCTTGTTTTTACATGATTTTTTTTTCAGTGAACATATCTTGGCTTCTTAACAGTTAAATAATAATAATCTCTTTAATTATACATTAAATGATATTACTGAGCTATGCCAAACTTACTGAACTGAGACTTCTCAAATTCATTGTTTTATTTTTTTCCCCCTTAAAATATACTTGTCTTATATTCTGACACTTTTTTAACTCTTTAGTTTGTGGGATTTTGTGTGTATGTGTGTGTGTGCCAGTCCTGGGCTTGAACTCAAGGCTTGTGGGGACAGTCTCTGAGCCTTTTCCCTCAAGGCTAGTACTCTACCACTACAGCCATAGACCCACTTCTAGCTTTTTTGGTGGGTAACTGGAGATAAGAATGTCATGGACTTTCCTGCCACAATGGCTTGAACTGCAGTCCTCAGATCTCAGCCTCTTGAGTAGCTAGGGTTATAGGAGCAAGCCACCAGCATCTGGTAATATTTTTGAATTACTTCATTTCCCAAAGTTATGGATTTTCTCTATATCATGGGATAAAATTTGTCACAAATTTGAGCCTGAAACTTTTTAAAGCAGATATGGAATTATACTATCTCTTTGATCTGTGTCTTCTCCTAACCATATTTGTTTTGCCCTTTTTAGTTTGAAAATCTTTCTCCTTACTAGATGAGATGGAAATGCTTAGCATATTACCATGCATGTTATCAAACTCATAATTACCTGCCATCAGCTCCTCAGACTGAGAACTTAGGCAGATCACAAAGAGGTGGCAGAGGCCAGAGGTCCTGTTTCCTGAGTCGTCTTCTGCCCATATAACTTTTTTAGTTAACTTCATAGTTTATGTAGCCTTTTTTAACAATGGCAAGTCTAAGACTTTGACCTTTGGTCGCAGTTTACAAGTATTTGACTTGTGGTGCATTTGCTAAAAAGTGGGAGGCACTGGAACCGTGGAGTCCCCACCTCTCTTTTTCTGAGGATGGATGGATTTCATCATACTGAAAATACTTGTCTGAGTGCTTTTCTTGCTAGTGTAGGGCAGCTCAGTCCCTACCACCTTTTTAAAGGGTGGCATGATTTGTAAAGAATGAACCATGGCTAGCAGTCCCTTAACTACAGATCAAAATAGTTTTATCAGCTTTTGGCTTATGGATGTATTCATGCTTACTACAGTTAAAAATTGGGGTCTATCAGATGCCAGTCACACAGATTCCAAAAGCAGAATAACTCACAGGAAGGATCAACCAAACCATTCAAACTGCTCTTCCCGAGGTCCAATGCTCTGTAGACACAGGAAGCCCTTGCACTCATTTCTCATCACCAGTCCCCAGGAGAGACCAAACCCTCAAGAACCACAGACTGACTCATATATGATTGTTCCTGGTACTCAGGGACTCAGAAACAGCCATTTGTGCTCTTTCATTGTGCTACTGTCCAGGAAACTAGGTTTTGAGGGTCAAGGCACAATACCCAGAGAACACTCTTAGGATCCAAGTCTAACTCTGGGGAGAGGGAACTCATGAATGAATTGATGAATTCACTCTACATGACAGTGGCCTTACTACGAATTTTGTCATTCCTAGGAATTTTGATCTTATGAAGGGAGCACTCTTTTCCCTTAGGTAAGGATGATAACTTGCCCCAAGTCATATTCAGGAAGGAACCCAGTAGGATTGAACTTCGATCTGCAGAGCACCAGTTCTGGTTTTGCCCGTGCCATTGTCTCCTTTTCCCCCCACAGTTCTCCGGAGGCCTCCAGGACCTCTTGCTTCCTCAGAACCAGTTTGCCATGTTCCTGTACTGCTTCATCCTTATACACATAATCTATGTCACGAAGGAGATGGTCTTCTTCCTCTTCTCCAAGCACTACCTGTTCTGCATTGCCGCCATTTTGCTGTGTCTGATTAAAACTTTCTGGTCCTACTTCCAATGCCTCTGCTTTCTCCATCACTAGAAACCCTATACTAGAGTGTTCCATTAACCTGTAGCCTCCCTGGCTTCTCTGTCCATCATCCTGTATCTCCCCTCCATGGAGCCTGCACTTAAGAAAGGATCAGATGCTGGACATTGTACCTGAGTGTGAGGAAAACACATACAGCCCCCTGATGCCCACGTGCTCACTGGCTGGCCATACTTTATCCAGACAAGAGATTTCAGAAGTTAGTGGGTTAGGGAGGTCTCAGTGGGAAGGAAGGGTTTAAAAGACCTTTCCAGAGTCATAGAATCACACAATGCCCAAGCTACTTTGGGTTTACCACATCAACACATGTCGTAGATTATTCTCTTGAGGTAGGGAGAGCCCGTGGTGGGCTTAACAATAGTCCCCACACCGAGGTGTCCATGTCTCAAGACCCAGAATGGTGAACATGCTACCTTACAGCAAAAGGGACTTTGAGGTATGATTAAATTAAGACCCTAGAGATGGAAAATAATGTAACAGGTGTCCCAATAAAAAGGCATGTGAAGGAGAAAGGGACATGATCCTCCAGGGGCAGTGATATAGGGCCACAAGTCAAAGGATGTAGAATTTTCTAGAGGCTGGAAAAAGCAATAATATGGATATTCTCCTACAACCTCCAGAAGGAGCCAGACCTGCCAACCTTGGTAGAACCTCCAGAACCATGAGAACATTGATCTGTGTTGTTTTAAGCCACCAGGTTTGTTGGTTCTGTTACTTCAGCAGAAAACTAAAGAAACCAAGGTATCTGAGCTCTTTCCAGCCTGGAAAATGTGTCAGTATATCATCACCAGGCCTTTGCAAGGCCACTGAGCTCTGGGCCTGAGCACATATAGTTCACAGCCAGCCATGCAAGCTTGCAGTCTGCCTTCAGACATCTGACTAAAAAAGAGACGATGATGCCCAAGGGGCTCGGGCAAGGCCAGTGCTGTAAGCCTAGCTACTCAGAAGGCTGAGATCTGAGAATCAGAGTTCAAGCCAGTCTAGGTAGGAAAATCTGTGAGATCCTTAAACTCCAATTCTTCATCAAAAAGCTGAAACTAGCCTTAAGCAACAGTTAAGGCTCTGAGTTCAAGCTTCAGGAATAGTATAAAAAATAAAATCAATAAATAAAAAAAGATCCTAGGAAGAGGTATCCCTATCACAAAGCAGTTGAGCACTCCTTAATGATGAGATGGGTGGCAAAATAGAAGCACACTCCCACAGGACAGAAAAAGGGGGATTAAATCCCTGGCTAGGTCATCAAGGCTACCCCACTGAAAAAATGGGAGGAAAGAGAGAGAGCAAGCAAGCAGGAAGGGAGGGGGGGAGGGAGGGAGGGGGGGAAGGAAAAGAAAGAAGGAAGGTAGGAAGGAAAGAAGGGAGGGAGGGAGGAAGGAAGGAAGGAAGGAAGGAAGAAAGAAAGGAAGGAAGGGAGGGAGGGAGGAGGGAGGAAGGAAGGAAGGAAGGGAGGGAACCACTCAGATACACACAAACCAAACCTTCACACACACCTCCCTGTGCCCATCTACCAGCTCAACCACATAACATAGACTCCCAAAAATGCAAAATAGCTTACCTGAAACAAATGTACCAAGTTACACAAATCAAAACAAATAGCTTGTAACACAGATGTTCACAACCCTCCCCTCCTCCCCCCCCATACACACACATAAACATGCAAGATCAACCAAAAGGAACAGACTGAACACTAGAGGGCTCCTGAGGAGCAACAAAATGAAGCCACCCAGCAGCTTTTGTGCAAAGCCACCCAGCCTCCCTCATTTACCAGCCCACACCCCAACCCCTTCTCCAATACACACACCCTTGACAGCTGCTCTGACCCCATCATCCCAGGCTAGCAGAGATGCCTGGGCCAACTATGGCACAGGAGGCTTTATGTGGTGATAACGCAGAAGACTGACTGAGGCTGGAGATACCTATGTCCTCAGCAAAGACTACATTGACTCTCCTCTTCCCCAACAATAGGGTCCTGCCCTAGAGGGAAAAAAAGGAAAAGTTTCTGTCTGGCAGGCTAAATGATGCTCAGTGAAACCATGTGAAACAAAGACACCTCTCAGGACTTCAGTGCCAATACCATACCAATACCATACCTTTAAAGGCCACAGTAACTTCTCATTTCCACCCAATTTAGTATATCTATTCCCGTTTACTTAGTGTCATGAGCACTAAGTTGGAAGTAGTAAAACTGTCATTTCTCATAAAACTTTCAATGATGGGATTTTTTTCTATGAGTGGCATGTCTAAATTGTCTTATTTGATGCAAGTTTTTGGCATAAGATTTAGATGAAAGAAAAATATTATGGTAACAAAAAGTGTAGGGAGCACCTGTTCACCAGGTTATACTAGAAGTACTATAAAGCCTTTCAGTTAAGCCCCCTCTTGCCAGGTACAACTAGATTTCAATACTTTCATATCATTTTTTTGAACCACAGCACCACTTCCAGTTTTCTCGTGGTTAATTGGAGGTAAGAGTTCCACGAACTTTCCTTCCCAGGCTGGCTTTGAATCATGATCCTCAGATCTCAGCTCCCTGAGTAGCTAGGGTTACAAAAGTGAGCCTCCTTCAGAGGAGTTAGCTAACTCCCTTGAGTTGTTAGCATGACCTCTCACACACTTAGCCATGAACTCTCTCCTGATTGTGTTTGAAGACAAAAGCCAGTAGTCTAAGAAATTTCCCTGGGCTGGGAATGTGGCTCAGTGGTAGAGTGATTGCCTCACATGCATGAGGGCCTGGGTTTGATTCTTCAGCACCACATAAGCAGAAAAAACCGGAAGTGGGGCTGTGGCTCAAGTGGTAGAGCACTAGCCTTGAGCTGAAGAGTTGAAGAACAGTGCCCAGGCCCAGAGTTCAAGCCCAGTGACTGACAAAAAATAAAATAAAAACCAAGATATTTCCCTGTAGGAAGGTAAAAACTATTCATGATCACTCTTCCAAATTAAGAGAAATCTCTCAGTTGAAATACAAAACAAAATCAGAAAGAGGATAGGAAAAAGGCCACCCTAAAAGGAGACCAATGAGGCAGCAAGTTTGCACAGAAGCATTCCTTGAATGCTGAGGGAGGTTCCTTGAATGCTTACTCAGGCTCTGGGAGGAAGAAATGTATGTAAGCACCATTTCACAGAGGAGATACTGAAGTACAGGGAATGACTCCAAAGCAATACTCTTTCCATGTTCCCAGGAATTTGGCCATGCAGGCACCTTGCTGGAAGGTGAGTTTTATACATCTGAAAAAGGTGAAAGACTGCCCTGGAGTCCAGGGAGACTGGAAAGATTCTTTGTAAGACCAACCACGAGCGTGGATATAAGGCTAGGCCAGGCAGACATGAAGATCACATACACACTCAGATCAGAGCACAAGTGGAGAGTCTTTAGGCAGAGAGAAGGTACTCCTTGCTCTGAAAAAATAGTATAAAGGGCTATGGGTCTGGAAAACTAGCATGAAGCCAGTTAGAGTATCTTGAATGCTAGTCTGGGGGATATAAACTTAATCCTTTGAGAAATAGACAATCACTGAAGCTTGTGAGTGTGGATCAGTGACTGAGAAAGTAAAGGAGGGATAATAAAAGCTTCCTTTTTCCTCTAACTTCTAGAACCAGGTTCTCCTAATTTTCCCTTCCCATTTCCAGTCTCAGAAACATTCATTTGGAAGTTCTTAATTTGAGTATTGCCTTCAGTTGTAAAAGAAACCCAAGGTAGTTTAAACAGAGGTTTATGTTTCTTACATACCAAGAAGTTGTAGGAGGTTGGTTGAAACTGCTCCTTAATGTCCTAGAGGACGACTCTGGGTTCTCTCTACCCGCTCATCCTTTACAGCACACAGCCTTTTTTTCCCTCATCCTGTGACTTTCAATCTTGCCATGGCTACAAGGCTACAAAAGGCCAGTGATTGTGGTAGCCATCTTGTCCAGAACTCTAAGTCCAAACAGAAGGAAAAGAAAGACTGCTTTTTAAAGGCTTTCTAACAGAAGTCATGTGGCTAATTCTAGCCACAGGGTTGTGTGAGGAGGTAAGGTTTTACCTGGGCACTTACAATCTTGAACAAAATTTAGGACTCTGATAGGATGGGGTGGGGATAGATATTGAGTAAGCAAATAACTGCGCGTCTCATCCCTGCTTTCCAAGGCCCAGCTCCTACTCCCTGCCTTCCTGAGGCCTTGGTGGATTGAGACAGGCCAAGCATAGTAGCCACAGCCTGTCTGGGCCTGGCTCACTGCTGCATCTGCCTTAAGGATGTGTCCCATAGAGAGAAGCTCATAGTTTCCCCTGAACGAGTCTGGAGCCACTCTGCTTTCTTCCTTCCTGACCTTTGCCTGAGGCCTCATGACCTCCACTGTCCTTGCCTAGGGAACCTAGAAGGGTACACCTCTTTGTGCTGGGTGCCCTCCCAAAGCTACTAGAGGAGGCAATTTGGAGTCTAGAGTTTCTCCCTTTAGCTCCCATAGAAGCCCAGTGCCTTGGGGATCCTAACAGAACTCACAACAGAGGTTCACTCAGCCTTAGCCCAAGAATCAAAACACAAATAGTACAATTTTAGGCAGGAGGAGAAATACGGCAAATCTTGCCTGTTCTCAAAAGAAATCCCACTGGTTACCAACTCAGAGTCTCGTGATAAGCTGGAGCTGGGAGCCAGCTGACCTCCGCAGGAAGGCATGGAGAGCAGGCTTGCCTCCAAAGGCTGTCTCCCGGCCAAGTGTGTTTCCAAACCCAGTTTAGCAGGTGACTGCAAACAAGTTGGCTAAGCTTTCTAGACTTCCTTCATCTGGATGACCTATAAATTATCCCGGCTCTAATTCAGTGCAAAAATAAAGATACAAAGTCTAGTGTTTGCTTTCATTGACCTGCACTGGTGTCTGAGTAACCTGAAATATGTCCCAGCGGATTCTAATGTGCAGCAGGGTTGCTAAGTCCTTATTCCTCACTGTGGGGTCAGCAACATCCCAGACCCAACCCATGAAGTATTGAAGCAGGTATATTTTGACAGTGTACCTGTGAT